GTAAGAGAGACAGATGAGAAAACACTACAGTGAACAAACACCAATGAGTGTGTGAGCTTTATATTTACAGATTACTTGTTTCTGGATGTAAAAATCAGTCATCTAGGAGACACTGGAGGGTAATTTCATAACCTCCACAACGCTTCATTACATTCGAACTCCACAGGCCTCAAAGTTATAGATTCCGGCACTGGCAAATGATAAGAGTTGCATGGAAATATTTCACAGTGCTTTGAAGGGTTACAAAACTGAGCAACCTTTTTCAAATTGCATCCCTAATTACACAATGCTTCCTACACACATAAAATCAACAATATAATGATGCCATCATAAACAATCCTAAACAGCAATATCTAATTCGCTTCAGTAATGCTCACAAATTATGTGAATTCATTATGCGAGTGGTGGATAATTTAAGCTTTCATCAATTGATACTTGCCATTTTCCAGAGAGAAATGGATTGCTACATTTTAATGAGTGCAATAATAACACATCTGGTTTCTGCAAAAACAAAAATAACGGACAACAGGACAGAATATGTAATTGCTGACGCTGGACAGAAAATGTGAACAGAACCAGGGAAAGGAAAAGGCATTTTTATTATTCATTGTGTTTTGAAAGACACATGTTCTACCTAAATTATATATTTTCACATAATACTTAAAATTCAATAATATCAGAATATAGTCAACATATAAACCTCCAATAGAATGGACACAGATTTAAATCATTGCTTTGAAGCATCAAGAGACCTTACAAACGTAAATTCAGTACGAATTAAAGCAGAGAGAGTACAAAAAAGGTGGATTTAATGGGTTTCAGAGAAATAGCTTTAATGAACACCTCATGTAATGTTAAAACGTGAAGATACATTTAAGCTTACCGTATGATGATTTACACACGCATAACATGTGGTGCAAGTTATCGCGTACAGCAGATATCAAAATGAAGGCAATCAAAAATAATCTATGTACGTGTATGTTTAGGCCTATACATAGTTTGTATATATAAATCCAACACACGCACACGTCAAATTTACATGCACACTACAATTCTCAAAAGATAATGTAACACATAAAAAAATAAATAAAATACATTAGGTGAGATGTTGGTGAAGACTTCACATTCCAAAATACCCATTCAGAAAAGTGGCATTGTAAGTACATTTAGAACTCGGTCAATTATCCAATTAAAGTGTTTACTGATTTCACCACCTCACTGCTTACCAGAGCTGCTGTTTATGCTGTCCAGTGTTTATCCAGGAAAACTGTTTGTTGTTGAAATTGCCTTGCATGTTGGTTAAAAAAAAAAAATATATATCAAATGCATGGCATTCAAAAAGTCTAAATAAATATTCCTCACATGTACAACACGAAGCAATGAGGTAGACATGGTTATAAAAAAATGTTTAGACATAAAAATAATGTGTTGTGTAGTTTGTTGTTGAAGTTAAAAAGAGGGACAAATGTTTGTCGGGGAAATCAACCTGGTCTGATGATACAAAAGGGAATTTTAACGTCAGTGTACATAGCATTTTTTGACTCGTTTGCCTTTCCTATACAAAGTGTTACGGTAGTTTCTCTACAGGAACAATGGAGAAGCTGAAATGAACATCAGCATTTCTCAGACTGCCTTATAGCTTTCAGCTTGCAGCGTCTTCGTGAATGTCGGGAGAGATGCAGGTTCGGGATTTCAGCTTGATTTTTCTTCTTTTACTTCATTCAAACTGCTACCACATCAAAAGGCCTATTCTTTTACTAGAGAACTACTTCAAGATATGGAAGAAATCTGAGAAATTCAAATGTGTTTCTTAATTACTTGCATCGATATTTTCCCCCCCATTCAAGCAAAAGAAAAAAAATCTTTAGGCCGTTTCCCTTTTTCCTCCAGTTATTCCAGAGCTTCTTAACCAATTAAAAACCATTGTGTTCAACAACAAACACTCAGAAAATAGATTGGCCTTCAAGTTGCAATTTAACATGTGGGTCAGCACATGGTATTAGGACACAGTGACTGTAAAAATAATGATACTTTATCTTGTATGTTTGTACAAACGCACACACAGACAAAATAATTTTCATTATTTTTACACTAAGCTGTATCATGCGAGAGAGGGTGAGTGAGAAAGAGAGAGAGAGAGAGGGGCCACGGGACCGAGGGTGGGGTACACCCTGGATAGGATGCCAGTCTACTGCACAGTACCAACACACTCGCACAATATGGGCAATTTAGAGTCAGCACTTATTCCAACTGCATGTCTTTGGATTGTTGGAGAAAATCCATGCATACTGTACCACACACACAGAGTGCAGGTGGGAAGCAGCCCCTTGGAAACTGGTGACAGTGCAGCCCCCAGAGCCACCACAGCATCACTCTCATACAACAGTTAGGGTTAAATTCAAGGGAAAACAGTTAAACATTAAAGCAGCTTAAAGTAACGCATATAAGAGGCTAATATGGACTGTGACGTCATCCCTCCCAGTTTTGGTTAATCCCACATGCATTGTGCTATATGTATAGAATATTAAGTTTGCACAGTAACCTTATTTTTATTGTAGAAAAATCTGAGACTAAGAGCTGTGTAGATCTGGTCTCCTTACATACCCGCTCGGGAAACTGGTGCAGGTCTTAAAGCCAGGATTCCTCAGCCAGTGCCCTGCGCCACGTCCAGAGTGGACCAGTGCGGCACCAAGCTCACTATCAACACGCTTGACGTTTAAGGACAATTTCATCTGTTTTCTGAATAGCCACCAGGAAGATAATTAACTCATTAAAACGGCGTTTACACATCAAGCTAGGAGACCCAGCTTGGGATTGAAACGCCATCTTTGTATTAGTGTTGGACATTTGGCCAGGAAACAAAAGTGCATACAACTCATATGATTTCAGAAAAGTAACACAAAGCTAAACAATCAGTCCTTCATTAACTGTCCAGTGCACAAGTTTTAAATGCTGTTCTGGCTGGGCGGCTCTGCCACAGTACTTTAGCAGCAGTCAGTAACACTTTCATACTCCTTAAACAAAGAGGAGGGAATGACATTCCAAATCTGGGCTTAATACTTCCTGATAGTTTGTTTTTTGGGTGATGTTGATGTTCCACATTAACAGTGAAAACGGAGGAATAAACTACACAGATCCCCCGGAAAGAACAGCACTTAACTGAGGTAGAAAACAAAAGCAGGGCTTATGCAATTCTTAGGTAACAATATATACATACATACATATGACATACCAACAGCAGAATCATATCATTTATAGCTGTAAATTTGTGGATGCTAGGTTCATATAATTGGTAGTCCTGGTGCAGATGAATGACCTTCATACTTTTCCATTCGCCTTCACCCTCTGCACCTCTGGCTGGCCAGTTGCCATCAGAGTAGGGCGGACATCTTGAAATTTGATTGTGGCTTTGTTTGGTATAATGTCTGCGCACCTCTTTGTCACGTGGTATAAACATGTTTGTGAAACCACAATAAAGTGAAAGTTAAACAATCAAAGTCCAAAATAAAATTAAACCATTTTTAAATAAAACTGAAGCAATATAGAACTATTCACTACAAGACTCATGAAATCCAGTATGTTGACTAAAGGTCAGGTACATTCGTTGTCTTACCCTTGTTATCTTTCCAACCTATTGAGGTAAACCTACATTTAAATAATGCAACTAAAAAGCCCGACAAACTCTCAGTTGTACATAGTGCTTTGACACATGTATTTTTTGAGGTACTGTACAAAACAACAATCACTTTCCTGAGATTTGGTAGACAAAAAAGCGAAACAAAAAAAGCAAAACTAAAATTCACAATACAAGTAAAACCCTAGTCTACTGTTCCCAGTAGAACTGAGAAATACTGTTGCTCTTCCAATGGCAAACCAGATCTTTATCAGATTTAAAGAACAGAAAATCTCTTGTTGTTTGAAGTTAAAGCTATTCATATTAGCATATGGCACCAATGTAGTTTTGGGAGGCAAACAAATGTAAAAATCACACAAAATCAGAAAGCACCACTTCAGGCACTTCATAGCAATGAAATCTCATAACAGCGTCAACACACATGGGGCTCCCATCCCTCTGAAGGCAATGTGTACCTTTGTAAGAAGTGCCTATCTTAGGTGTTCTCAAGCATCAAACCAAGGTTTGTGTGTGATACTCACTAACCGCCAGAACTCTTCAGTGCTACGGTCATGGTAGAATGTACTTTTGCTCTTCAGCAACATCCCCTCCTAAAGACAGGAGTCTGTCGGCCTTTTTCTGGCTCAGAAACAACTCGCAGTTGCGTTTCACTGACCGCAACCGAACATCCTGTTCCATTCAGTGTACGTGTCCAGTTCTTTTTGCGATTTGCTAGGCTGAATTTTGCAAAGTACATTCTCAAAGTCTTGATAAGTGACTGGCCTAAGGTGACTGGGCAAAACAGCTGAAAGTCCCCCACCAACAGTGTGCAGAGCAGCCATGGCTACCTCCTGAACCAGGCGTGTAACGTCCAGGCCAGAGAAGCCATCTGTCCGCTGGACTAACAGCGCCACCTCTTTGTCAACGAGGGAATAATTGTGCTGTGAGAGCACCCGACTGATTATCTGTTGTCTTGCCGTGCTGTCGGGAAGCGGGATGAGGAGTCGCTTCATGAAGTACCTCCTCAAGGAATCGTCAATCTCCTCCGGCTTGCTTGTGGAGCACACAACCACCACGTGGTCCTCGGATGAGGCCAGAATACTATCCAGCTGTGCAAGCAGCTCACCTTTAGTTCTGTCCAACGGGCTGTCGTCACCAAGCTGGGAAGAGAGTAGCAAGTCGACATCACTAAGGAACACCACGGAGGGTTGGCGGCAACGAGCTACCAAGAAAGCGGCATGGATGATCTTCTCCCCATCGGTGCACCACTTTGTTACCAGGGCAGAGCCACTGAGTTTAAGGAATGTCGCTCTCAGCTGGCTAGCTATGCACCTGGCCAACGATGTCCTGCCAGTTCCCTGGGGTCCAAACAAGAGAACAGTCCGGGGTATGGTAGAAAGGTCACAAAACACATCAGACCTCAGGAAGGGCCACATGATCTCTTCTTTTATCACAGCTTTGGCCACCTCTAGCCCGACTATATCACTCCAGTCCATGGGGGGGTCCTGCTGGACAATCTCACTGGTGACCAAATCAACGAGATGGGAATCGACTTCCTTAAGCTGCTTCCTTGCAGACTGGGCAGATGAGGTAGCCGAGACGATTCTGGATCCAGCTCCCGGCCCCGGTATTGGGTGCGAGAGATGCGCGTGCTCATCACCATGCTCGCTCGAACCGGGGGATGCGAACCGGCTGAAGGGCTCGCTCAACTTCGACCCTCTAGATGAAAGGTAGGGCGGAGGAGTTGGCGCCCTGCTGGACTGACTGCTGAACTTCCTTTGTTGATCAGAAGACACAGGCTGCTTTGAGGGTTTAAATGCCAAAGATGACGTCTCAGCACTTCTGTCAAAGCTGCTTCCTCCAACAGCATTTGGAATGCCGCTGTCCGGCATGCTATATATAGGGCTTCCGGGGGAGCACTGCTGGCTGTAGTTGAAGTTTCCATAAGGGGGGTTTATCTCCCCCTGCCCAGTCATACAGAAGGCCTTCCTTTTCATTGAGCCGGACGAACTGACACTCAGAGGTGTTGGTGTGACCGTCGCAAGGGTATGAGGCTCGTAGGAATAACCGGGGAGAGTGGAGGAAGGCAGTGGGGTAGGGGCTGCGATACCCGAAGGCAAGTAGGCAGAAGGAGGTGGTGCCCCCCCAGGGCTGTAGGCCGTGGTGACCGCAGTCTGTGGGGGGTAATCTGAGGGAGAGTAACCGTAACTTGAAATCCCCGAGGAACCCGTGTTGTAGGTGGGCACCAGAGTCTGGGGGGGCAGTGGAGGAGGAGGAGGCTGAAGGAGCCCCGAGCCATGCAAAGGCGAGGGGTGAGGGGAGGAGAGGCCAGGGGCAGACTGGCCGCCGTAGCTCGAATGCAGGAAGGAGCCACTGTAAGCCGTCGGGTACTCCTGGGATGAGAGCGCCGAGTGAAGACCGCCAACCGTGTGACTTCCGCAGCTGCTGCTGGAGTAGCTGGTCTCCGTCAAGCTGCCGGCCAGCCCCGGGGAGCTGCCGATGCTGGCAGAGATGTCTGCCGGGGGCAGGGCAGCTGTCACTCCAGCCTTACTCACACACATGCCATCTGGAACACAGCTCGCCGGATAGATCCCATCCTGCCAAGGCTCGCTCTCGCACTTTCTCCCGTTCAGGAGCCCCGTGGCGTCCGAGTAGGGGCCCAGGAGCATCCGCTCCTCGGGGTTCTCCAAGATCCCCGAGTACTTCTCGGCGTACTTCTTCAGGAGGTTGGAGGCGGTGAGGGCTGATATGTCATCATTGGCCCAGGCGTAGTGATAGCTGTGCTGCAGGTGACCCACAAAAGCCTCAGCCTTATGCATATGGGAGTGGGCACTGGCGGTGATGTCAAAGTGCTGCTCCGCCCACTGCGCATGCTCCGGCGTCCACTGCATCTTAAAGCCTGCAATTTCATAAACAGAAAAAAACATGCCATATTTAGTTTAACACATCCATCTTCCACAACTCATTATCCAGTGCAGGGTTATGGCGAGCCTGGGGTCTAGGCTAGGAAACATAGAGCAAAGGACACCCTGAATGGTATGACAAGTCCATCACACACATTTTATTTATTTATGAAGCACATTTAAAACTCAGGTTTTCACTGACCAAAGTGCTGTACAATAATAATGAGCCATATATGACGGGCAACAATAATGGGCAATTTAGGGACATCAAGTCATCCTAATCCTCATGTTTTTGGTTGGGAGGAGAAACCAGAGTACCTAGAGGAATCCTGTGCTAGAAACATGAAAACACATAAAGGCAGGGGGTGGGATCAACTAAGCCAATTTTGATGCATTTTTAAAAAACATGTCTTTTAAATAAACATGATAAGCCAGCCATGGAACGCCAAGCCTCCCCCCGTCATTCCCATTGCCCTTAAATGCCAGCGGAATCAACACACTCTTTGTTTCAACCTCCAGCCCCGAGTTTCCCAGCGCACTGCCCTGCCCGTAATAAATACGTGACACGGCTGACATGAAGGGTACTGCTCCCATCCAGGCCCAAACACCTAGTTAGCACAGTATAATGCACCCCGCTAGGACCAATATGACACAGGCATCGCAGGTCACTCCATAATCCAAGTCTCATCTGAAGCAGCCCAAGACAGTCTCATATCTGCTCCGTGAAGTGCAGCAAACCAATCTCCTGGGCGCCGTTCAGCAGCCTTCATCTCACAAAGGCCCAAAGCTCGGGATGAATTACAACGGCCCTCTTGCCGCCTCCCCAATCGTGGTACTCAGAGTGTGGGAGGGTTGGGGTGGTGTTTTGGGGGGGGGGGACGAGGGACCATATGCCTCACAGCATCTGCATGTGGCACCGGGGACTTGCAGTGGCGCCGTTCTGGAATCTTCATCTCACAAAGGCCCAAAGCTCGGGATGAATTACAACGGCCCTCTTGCCGCCTCCCCAATCGTGGTACTCAGAGTGTGGGAGGGTTGGGGTGGTGTTTTGGGGGGGGGGGGAATTCTCACACTTGTCTTTCCATACTCTCTTTATAGCTTCTGCGAATAAAAATGCACCATCTCGTTTAATCCCGACATCTGCAGGAACATATCTATAGCTCAGCACTCACGAGCATGGATGTCTCCGAATCGACGGGTAGCTAAAGGCTGCAATGAATAGATTGGAATGCAATGGCGATCTACCCGTTTTTTTTTTTTTTTTTTGTCAGAATGGAGATACAAATGCACACACAGGACCTTATTGCAAAAGTACAGCACTCCGCAAACAAACGCCTCTCGACACACCGAGGCCAAAAACGCGATCCAGCTCCGCTAGTTTGGCCACCGATACGCCCCTTCCGTTTAAGGCGTCCGGCGGTCCGAGGTGTGGGGGGCTCCGCGTTCGTTTGGTGACAAAGCGGCCCGGAACATTCCCACGCGACTCCCACCCGCTGCGTTCCGAGCTGCCACACCAGACACCGGGAGCTAATTAGCGGCATGATGCTGCGCTAATTGGTTAATTTACAAGGTTTTAGTCAAAACCAATTGTGCCGTGGCCAGCGTGCCTGTCAGGCTTCTAAGCTAATGATTAAGAAATGCCAAAGACAAAGAGAAGGGCTATAAACAAAGCAGCCCTTTTTAAAAACTGAGGCACTTTTATTGTATACACTGGCCACTTGAATGGGCCGTGTTTACATATTTTCACAACACTGACCCCGCAAATCATCCTGGTTTTAGTACTAATAAAAATCACACCCTAAAAGAATTCTAATTCGTCCATTCAGCATTTTAAAAAACACCACATTTGTTCTAACAGCAACTTTCCTTGTGTGGTGCCTTTTTTAAGTGAAATCTTCAAAATCATACTGAAAAATCGTTAAGGAAACTAAACATGCAACTCAAAGAGGGTACTCTGGACTAGCACATCCTACCTCTGGTAGCTAGAAGTATCCTAAAACATTTGGTACAAGGGGCCACTGCTTCACTTGCAGAATAAGGGGAAAGCAGTTACAAATAGGAAAAAAAAAATCATGATTTGTCAGCCCCTCATTTCACTCATATGAAGATGTGTTTAACCTGATGGCAACCTGGAAGCATAAATGAAGAGGACATGGTGAAGACAAACTCCATAGCACTCCTGTATAAATATAGTACAATTTAGCCCATCCTGCATTTGAAATGCAACTTGCCTACAAATGACAAGTCACAAACAAACTCTGTTTGGCTCCTTTCCTCATTTTTGGGAGTACAACTAAAGAAAATAAAGTTTAACCGGAGATAAATGAAGGAAGAGTAGGAGGGAAGCAGAAGAGCGAGAACCAAAAAGACACAATCTACATTCCAAATGGGGTGTATGGGGGGGGGGGGCATTACAGAGCCAGCCACCTCCCCCAATTCTATCGTCCCAAAAAAAAAAAAAAAAAAAGTGCACACTAAACCATCAAAATGGAAGCAGAGCCTAATCAAAATCATTACGGCTTCCAGCTATTAGCTGCAGCAGAGATGCTTGTTAGGTACCAGTGTCTAATAACCCACTCCTCTGAAAAACCTCTGTAACGAGCTCTTTAAAGTCCGGCTTCGCTGTGATTATGTGCTGAAGCAGACTGGTATGGTTCCCAGCGTCATAATTAAGCTACACAAACTGGGCTCTGTGACCACTGGGGGGAAAAAATGGATTCAAAAGGTCCAATTATTTATCAAAACTTAATTTTACCAAAGAAAACATTATCGTCAGAGCTATATGTAGTTAACGCGATGAGCAGAGTGTTCTGGGTCATACTTTATTCTGACTTGAGCAGGTTACTTTCAGAATTGGCAGGCCCTATTATTATATTAATTTATTATGAAATAATGAGGAAGAAGAATTGCTTGCTTTGATAACTTCATCAACCCCTGCCGTGGTCTGACATTCCATCCAGTGTGTCTTCCCATATTATTCCCTCACTTTCTAGGATACACTCCAGGCTACCAACCATGGAAATATGGCTGATATATGGATGGACAGATTGATGAAACAATTTAACATTTACTATGCAACAGTTTCACATGCAGTATACACAAGTAAGCATTACATCCACAGTGGTCCATCTTCTCACTAGGCTAATACACAATAACATTTTAATGCAGTGACAGTAAGGACGTGTTTACGGATATTGAACATGAATACTTAAAATAATTTTGAGCATCGCTTATATGTTTCATTTATCGTACCTATCATTAGCTGGCATAATAAATGGTCCTTCTATTATAGAGGCTACATATTTCAGCTTATATTACGGTCTGCATAGCTTCAGGGGAGCCCCTGTCCACTTGGATATGTCTGATGTAGTGAGACGCACAAGAAATCTTTCCGTCCGTCCATGTCACAAAGAGCACAGAAGACTGCAGTGCTGTATACTAAGAGGACAAGCAGAGCTGTGTCCCTTAAATAAAATTAAATGGTGGTGTTTTTTCACAGCAACAAGTCTAATTCAAAAGGCAGCCAAAAAGACCTGCATAGGGAATAGACAGCAGTTTTACTAAAATCCATTGTAATTTTAAAGTGAGCGCACTGCATAATGAATAGATTAAAACCCTAAAATCATGATACTCAAATGGTACTTATCTAACTAAATCACTCCAAATTTAATTTATGCTTAGCTAATGCAGCTAAATTTTAAAATGCAGCCTTACATATTTTAAATGGGCAAAGGGTTACTTAAGATCCACAGGAGTGTCATTAGGGTGCACACTGTCTCTGCAGGCATCAGTCAATAAACGTCAGTGCAGAAAAACATCCAGGCGTTGCACGTACATTCGTCTTGAGAAAATTGGCATTTAGCAAAGGATAGTAGAAAATAATCCTTAGCTTGTGTCTGTAGGATGTTTGGATTGTCTGCCATGTAGCTATGTTAATTTAAGTAGCATTTAATGCTGTTTGTTCATTTAACCTTTCATCTTTATTATTTATTTAATTAATTATTTTATTTTTCCCTTGGAGAACAATGTCAATCTGCCAGCTATTTAAGGAGAATTTTGATATGAAACACGCTTATGCTTAAGACCTTATACATCTCCAAAGTCATGCTCTGGTAAACAAGGAAAGCAAGAATATAGCGGTACTTATGAATAATATTGGAAATTATCCAATTTAAATAAATGAAGAAAAAAACATTTGCACACCCCTGATAGCACAGACAAACATACATTGCCTGGAAAAAAAACCACTTTAGATGTTCCAAGATTTATCTAGTTAAACCTTTTAATTTATATATCACAATATATCTCAGCAATATAACCTATCTTTAGGTTAGGTTACAATGTCTTTCTTCTTCTAGTTACAGCTACCGAGTGTATCTAAAAAATTTTCACAACGCACATAAACCTCAACTAACATGCAATTCGAAAACAAACGCTACAGTTAGAAGTTGAGCCAAAATTAGATGGACACCCTAAAAAAACTTAAGATCTGCTGTTTGGCTGTAAGGCCACCGACAGAGCGATTTGTGCTCCCCCTCCACCCCCCGAAATGTGGAAGTGAAGGCGCAGTTATGCCGGTAACACCGCTCTCAGCGCCCGGTCACCGCTTTTAGAGAGGGGTTAATCACTCTCCCGTTTTAGGCTCAGGGGAGGAGGGGGGGCTGCAAACGAGTGCAACTCCATTGTCCTCGGCGTTTTGGGAACATCAGTCAGGCAGTCAATTCCCCGTGACCGGAGCACTCCGTGTAATCACAGTAATATTCACGGCCGTGCTCATAGTCGGCGCTCAGAGCTTCCGTCCCGCCGCGCAGCGCCGTAATCATTTCACTCCGGTAAACACCTCCGCTGCGTCTCCAGACGTCTTTCGTCTCCAAAGCTGACCAGACAGATCCACAGGAGAAGGGGATTTGCCGAAAAACATACGAAATGCATTTACCCAGCAGTTTTCCAGAGGAGGACGCCGAAGTTTATACCTCAAACTATCATTTTTAATCAAAACACAAAAAAGGACGAACGAACAAACCATTCCACGGTGTTGACATTTTTAAATTTCATAATATATCAGATTAAATCCGCAACGTGCTTTGATCATCGAAACGAATTAGAAGTTTGTTTCGTTGTCGTGGATGTAATAACATGTAGGGTGGTGACTTCAGATCGATGTGACTGCTAACAGACTGTCCCGCCACCTCTCCGGAAGCGGAAAAGCGCGCGAACCTCGCCTGAGGCACCACGCCGCGTGCGTCTCCGCCGCACCCCGCACCTCATGCACGGAGGGAGTAACACAACTGCACGTTTGCCAGCCAGTAATCCCAGGCCACGGGGCCGCAGAGGACATCACATATTGAAATATATGCTTTGCCTGTCTCAATTCTGGAATATTCTATTGATTCTCTAAATAAATAAATAAACAAATCCCCGTGCTCTCTCGATAATATCATGCTGCATTATGCAAGACAAATCATTACAGTACATCTGTTTCAATTATATATTACTTAAATTAAAAGTTTAAAGCCCCGTCTATTCCTTGAATATGCATTCTACTTCTGAAAATAATTAAAAGCACCTTTATTTGCACACTGCCAGACTAGATTAAAAAATATTTTAAAAATCTCTTACTTTATCATGAATACTTCATATTCAATTGCATTGTTTAACCAAATATATAAAACACATCAACACAGGCTACATATTCAGTATAAGGTCAGTTAAGTGAATAATTCATTTTCAGATGACACAAGGGGCTCCATTTTACATTTCTGTGAAGTGACTTCCTTTAAAAAGTCTTATAAATAAATACACCATCCTTTAACATTCACCCACAGCCACTCTTCACTGTTTGACTAAATCACTGATCTGTGAGACTGAACAGCTGATATTCTATTAGCAGTGTGCTCTGCAGTAATACTCGAATAACAGTGTTAGTTTGCATTATCCGTTCATTTTTATTTGTTAAATGAATCACAGAATTTTTTATATCCCTTGGGGAGAAAAACAAAACTAACAGCTTTTTAACAGATATATTCTTAGGCCACGATAGTACAATTCCACACCGCAATCTGGTAATCAAGCTTTTGCTCTGAATTACACCAGTACCCAATCTCAGATGTCAACAACATGTTGAATTGTGAAAGACATTGTGTTCAAAATGCAATTTTTACCACAGACATGGTATTTAAAAACAAAGCCTACCATTTCTTTTCCTTTCAATCAAAACATTTTGCCACTGATATAGACGAGTCCTTGCACAGACATGTTTGTCCGTGTATGGAGAGAGTGACGATCCGTGTCCAACATTCAACCCAGTTACTGGCTACAATGCTACCTGAGGATGGGAGGAAGGAGTACAGACTTGGTTTGGGGCAGATGATGGTTAACAAAAACAGCCTCAGCAGAAAACAGCTCCAGCAAATGGAAAGGAGGGGAAATAGGGATCGGGTCTTGGAAACGGCCGCAGCGAGGTGTGGGAGAGGCATCAGGATCTAGGCATGTGTTTTGCCCAAGAGGAAAGCGAGAAGCCAATTTAACGTGAAGGCAATAAGGCACAGGTGAAGCGAATGGATGTCCTCATCCCCTGAATTGACCCCTAAGCTTTATTGTCGCATTCTTTTTCAGCTGTTGATGAACCGGAAAAAAAAAGATTTTCCATCATAAAACTGATCAGGACATGGAACAGCCATAATGAAGGACCAACACAGGACACAATCATGCTCTCCGCCTATTAACCGTGTGGTTTAATGAGATGTATTTTTTATATCATGAAAAAAAAAATCAAACGATTATCTCAATAACAACAACCAAAGATGCACAAATAAGTAGAGGAAGCCCCTAAATGAACCCCAGGCTGAGCGTAACAACATTTCATGGTAACATAATATCTCAGATGGCAAGAGTAATGAGCAATCGATAAACTCAGTAACGGTATTAGAAAATGATCAGAGCAGCATGAGACAACTGTTAACAGTGCGACAGCTATTCGAGTTACAAAAGTGAATTCACTCGAATGGAAACTTGAGCTACATTAAGTAACTGTTTATCGATATTGCCATTTTAGTCAGATTCTCTGCTGATTTTTTTGAGGGGGGCGCCCAACTTCACAATTCAAATTTAATATGCCACAATAATTACGTAATAGAAATTTAGACAATCAAGTAATGATACCAGGTTCTAACTTGATTAGCAGGGACACAGTTTTGTCTTGCAATATTGACATTTGCCGACTGCAGTGCTGTACCATTTTATGTTTATGGAGCGCCCATCACCTTGTAAAATATGCCTATTTATAGCTTTGTGCTTTAAGAACTTGCCATAGTGTGGGGCTAGACAATAAAATAAAAAATACAGCAAAAGCAAAGCACATCCAGTAGTAGGAACCACGCTCAATAACTGAGCCATTTTTGACAAGGAGGTTCAGATAACATCAGCTGTCTCATAGCCCATCAGGAGGCTACATGGCTGGGCTGCTCTTCCTCCAAACAGTCTGTAGTGACACCTTCAGTCAGCTGGACCCCTACAGGGCTGTGGGTGGAATGGAGTGTGCATCACTCTGAAAGCTCGTTGTATGAAGTTGAAAGAAGAAGGGAGATAACAGCGCACACACAGGGGTTCGAATCCTGCCCACGCTCTGTATGTGGACTTTCCCTCGTCTGCCTGTTGCATGGGATTACGTTGGATACTCTTTTTTAGTCAACTGGCATTTCTAAAATCAGCCATACTGTTCTTGCGTCTGCCCTGTGATTGGCTCATCCCGTCCAAGGCGCCCCATATTGCCTGGGATAGGCTCTAGCCCTGTAACCCTACACAAAACACAGGAAGACAGACGCGGGGATAGATAGATGAAGGGATGGATAAACAGATGGATATGGTCATCCTTGCATGCACCTTCCCTTTTGGTACCCTAGATCCCGCAAACGGATCAGTCCAATCACTGATCATCACTTGGATGTTCACGATTCCAAGTGACACAATCGTGTCCTCAAAATGCGGTGACATTCTTCAGCCAGCTCAACATCCATGTGGCACAGAGGAAATACTCCCCCCCCCCCCCGAGCAGCATCTTGTTTACACAGCTTGATACCTTGTGACCACACTCTCCAGACAAAAGGCATATCGCCCAGTGGCTAAAGTCACACGCATGTGAATTCCCCGCAATTCCGCTAATCGAACCCGAGCTGCTATTTCTGGGCCGACTGGCTCATTTGCCTACAAAGCTCTGAAACGGACTGACTGCGGCCCCGTCGAGCCCATGAACGGGAATTCTTACTCACTCCAAGGGAGCAGAACCGGACCAGCTGAAGCCGGCTGATGCTGCCTCATTGACCGTAACCAACTCTACAAAGATACATCCTGGAGAGAGGGACACCCACAAGAGCTCCAGCCGTGTCACGCTGGAGACATGGAGACATGTCACACTGAAACGTCAGCATGAAATGAGATAAGGCAGCAGGGCCAAAACACGACATTCAAAGGTACACGGCACTTTGTAACCATAAGCAGGATACGGCAAAGGCTTTGCAGTCATTTTATTTGTAAAACGCTAGGACTAACATTCAGAAACACTGTGATACAAAACTGCGATTAACAGACAAATGGTTAAAAATGTGGAAAATTACAGCCAATCATTATGAGGGTGGTACCTTTTGAACTTGTACAACCCCAAAATTTTGAAGTACATACATACATACATATAGATACACACACACGCGTTTATTTATTTATTTATTATTCATTTACGCAAGCTTTCACTCGTGTGAGAAATAAATCAACAATTCAATACAAGTCATGAATTTTATAGTTCCTACTAAAAAACATTAGTCAGTGACAAATCAGTCACTGATCCAGAAACATCCTCAGTCACTGGTTTTGTGTCTCGAATGGCTAATCTTAGAGGAGAAGGTGTAACTACCTCCAGAATCTGCTCCGAGGCTCTTCTCCTTCAGGCACGCAGTCATCGCTCTGCTCTAGGAAAAGAGAATAGATCCTGAAAAAATGGGCCACATAAACAACTCCGTGCCTTGTTAGCTAGCTACAGCCATTTAGCAGAACTACACTACTTGTAACTAGATAACTTCAATTAATCAATTTTGGAAATTGTCTAATGTAAGACAACATAGAATATGATTTTTTGATTTTTATGATGTTTTGAGGCAACCATAGTGTTACCAAAAGCTAATCACCAGATTTTTACTTTCCTACGAACAAGCGAAATCTGAATCTAAACTAAAATCATTCTACTTCATCATTTTCTCCCTCCATTGGTAAGTAGGCGTATTTATCAGGTAGGAATATTTGAAGTTACTGTAAATGATATTTATTAAAGGGGAAAATGCATTCAAAATAATATTTAGTAAGTTAAACTTCTGACGCCAATTGGAATAATCACAATACTCCAGGGAGCAGTATAATCTGAACATACACTTCCATGGTGGAGAATTAATTTATGCCATTTATCAAAACATTTTACTTCCCTGTCCAATGTGCTGTTTTTCCACATATTACGAGAAACTAGTAGCCTCTTCCTCAGTAAACAAAAGTAAACAAAACAAGAAAAAAATAGCATTTATTTAAGGCAAACAAACTCTTGCAGCATTTAACCTTTTTTGTGCAAATGAAGGGTAAGAGAATTTAAAAAGATGCATTTCTTTACTTGTGTGTTTCTTCTACAGATGTTCACCTGCATGTAACTCATAACTAGCGCACAGGTGCAACTGCTAAATGATTTATAGCATTTTAACAATTTTTATTATTATGAATGAAATTAAATAAATAAAATGAAAAACGAAATCAATATACCATTCTCAAGCTCTACCTAAACGTCTGTGATCTCAGGAAAAACAATGTGTTGGGGAGAGATCTGCATGCGACCTTTCAGAAAAAATGGTCAGCAAGTGGGACCGATGTGAAGGACCGCAGATTTGAAAGGACGTGAAACTGGCACTGGGTGAGATGATCTTAGATGGTGTACCGCTGCCCCGGACACACCACATTTCAAAAGCCTGAAGTTCCCATCGCCTGGGTTTAGCCGTCAATCCAGAATTGATTTGGCAGGAGACTGAGGATACATATCAGAATTTATGTAGCCGTGAAGTCTTCTGCTCAGCGAGGTCTGATATCGGGAGGGGGTGTAAACAGACTGACAAACATTCCCCAATGTGGGAGAAGATGGGGGGAAAAAAAAAACTCATGATGAAACTCCAGCAGGTTCAGACTGGATATTCAAAGGCTGATGCCATCCCGCTACTTCTCAGCGATACTGAAAAGAAAACCGCGATACTGTACGGAAAAAGGAGACAGCTAAATCAGGGCTGCTTTTACTCAGCTGCAGAGGTGAAACGCATCAAGTACCAAAACCAAACCAATAAATACCAACAGTGCTTATTTA